CCGGTGCCGCCGCCGTCGCCGGAGAACGGCGGGGGGAGAAGAAGAGGGGAAACCAGCGCGGCTCTGGCGTGCCCGCGTTCGCCAACCCCTTCTGGGTGGAGGTGCAGGTGCTCACACGCAGGTCCTTCACCAACGCACGCCGCCAGCCGGAGCTCGTCGCTGTGTGGCTGGGCGCTCTGCTGGTCACCGGCCTCATGCTCGCCGCCGTGTTCTGGAAGCGCGACCTGTCGGCGTTGGGCGTGCAGGAGCGCCTCGGCTTCTTCGCCCTCGCCGTCACTACCACCTACTTCACCTGCGGCGAGGTCCTGCCGGAGTTCCTCCAGGAGCGCTACATCTTCATCCGCGAGACCGCCCACAACGCCTACCGCCGCTCCTCCTACGTCCTCGCCAGCACCGTCGCCAGCGTGCCCTCCCTCCTCCCTCTCTCCCTCACCCTCGCCACCGTCACCTTCTTCGCCGTCGGCCTCCACGGCGGCGCCTCCGGCTTCCTCTTCTACCTGCTCGTCATCTTCGCCTGCTTCTGGACCGGCATCTCCTACATGACCTTCCTCTCCGGGGTCATCACCGACGAACGCCTCGCCTTCACCGCCGTGGTGGCCACCCTCTCCTGCTTCTTCCTCCTCGCCGGCTTCTTCGTCTCCCAGGACCGCCTCCCCCGCTTCTGGCTCTGGCTCCATTACCTCTCCCTGGTCAAGTACCCCTACGAGGCCGTCATGCACAACGAGTTCGACGATCCTCGCCGCTGCTTCGTCACCGGCGAGCAGATCTTCGACAGGACGGCGCTCGCCGGAACGTCGCTGGAGCTGAAGGTGAGGCTGCTCCAGGCGCTGGGGTCGGCGCTGGGGGTCAACATCACTGCGGGTACCTGCATAGTCAACGGCCCCTACGTGCTGCGGCTGCAAGGGATCACCGACCTCGCCAAGTGGACCTGCGTCTGGATCTTACTCGCCATGGGCGTCCTCTACCGGGCCCTCTTCTACCTCGCCCTCCTCTTTGGCAGCAGGAACAAGCGCCGCTAGAGGCCCAGGCCCAGGGAGGAGGACGGTCTTTCTTTATCCAATGGGTTTTGATTTTATTTTTTTTGGTTTTTTTTCTATATTTTATTTTATAATAAGACTTAGTTCGAGAACATATTACAAATCGTGAGTTCTTGATTTATGATTGACTAAAGAGACCCAGCTAAAATGGTCCATTCGGAAAAATTAGATGTTCATAGATAAATAATTATTAATAAATATTTTTTGGGGTTTCCAAGAAAAATAAGACAATTTTTTAATTGCATTTGTATTTTTTTTCAAATTATTTTCTAAATATAGTTTCCCTCACACATACTAGCCTTTGTAATCGATTTTAAATAATCATTTATAAATAACAATGAGGCGTTTTGACTAAAAAAATAATACCGTTTTTATTTTATATTTTTAAACTCTTTTAAAATATAGTTTCCCTCACACATACTGGCCTTTACAGCCAATTTTATTACGATTTAGATGTAAATAAAAATCTTCAACCGGGCTTTTTTTACTAAAAGCACCTTATCCAAAAAAGGGCAAGTTAGGCATTTCACAAGATCTTTGATGTATCGGGCTGGGTCGCCTTGGTTTCAATTGGGCCGGACCGATTGATGGGTCTTTTAATGGGCCCCGACCGTGTGCTAACTTACCGAACTGCCCCCCTTCGCTTTCTGGGGGCGCCCACAAGGAATCTCGAGTTATTTACTAATATTTTTAATGTAAACAAAAATTCAAAAGTTGTTATTGAGTGGGACCCAGTGTATGTCTCTAGGCTCATAGTGTGTTTGATGTTTACTCCATAGAAGATGGGGAGAAGGGGAGGGGGGCTCACCTCTTCTTGCGGGGGTACGCGTGCCACCCGAATCACGTGCGAGGTTGTTAGGTTACTTAAAAATGAGGCCCTCTTAAATATATCATTTGCTGTAGTACCCTGACACTGTGACATATGGTTACAGATATTTTCTGTCTGTGACGCGTGATACGGTATAAGTAAAATACTTTAGACAATAGGAGTCTTTGTGGAATTTTGTAGATTTAATTGTTCAAATTCATAGAAGAGGAGGTCCCTCCCTATCGTCTCTCTCTCTCTCTCTCTCTCTCTCTCTCTCTCTCTCTCGTTTCGTATTTTCTCCGCTCCCTCTACTCTTCCCCGCCAAATCCCGGCGATCTGCTCGCAGACTCGGCGGTCCCCTCTGGCGGCCGCTAGGGTTTGCCACTGCGCCATCGCCTTTCCAGCGGTGAGGAGACGGGAAGGGCAACCGGGGGAGGGGGTGTCCCTCTTCCGGGAAAGTGAGCACGGGAGGCCAATTTGCTGCGCTCCGGGGTTGGAATTTTCGGGGCTGTTCGTCGGGGATTGTCCGGGCTCCGGCCTTGCGCGCCGGTTGATCGAGGAGTGGTCTCCAGGTGGATCTCGCAGAGGAAGGAAGAGGAGGATTCGGATCTGGTGAGTGCTTGCAAGCTCTCCGGTTCCCATTGAGTGGGTTTGGGATGTATCCTCGGAGCCTTTTCTCCTTATATATTTCGGATTCTGATTTTTCTGTTCATCTGACTTCTCCTTGAGTCAAGGAGATGCCGGAATAGTGAGTGCGTACGAACTTCATTCTTCTCCTCTGTCGATTTGAATTTTGTAGCCTTTCCCTATAAGCGGTTTAAATTTTGAATTGTTGTGTCGATGATTGTTTATCTTTTTGCTCTCGCGTGTGCTTTTCTGAGAAATTGCCTCCTTGCTCTCTTGATCACATGAATTTTGCATCCAAATGGATATTTTAGACTTTTATTGTTGCAGCTGCCCTGAGTTGTCCTCCCTTTAGATCTCCGGTGAACAAGACCAATTTTCCTGAGTGTCCAGTGTCGAGCGCAATTTTTTCGGGATAGCTCCTCTTCTTTAGCTCACTGGGGGAAGCTTTTCTTTTCTTAAGGGAGTTTCGTTGGTTTGATCCCCTCCTGCTTGGGTTTCTTTTCCCAGAGGAATTTGGCTTGTTTTTCCTTCTCTAAAATTTGTATCCTTTCGTAGTTTTATATTTCTCTCTTCTATTTCGATTGATCGTTCCTTGCTCACGCTTCACCCATTTATCTCTGTCCTCTCTCTCTCTCTCTCTCTCTCTCTCTCTCTCTCTCTCTCTCTCTCTCTCTCTTATTCTTACTTTGCGACACAGGATCTTCATCTTTGATCCAGTCGGAGTTTCGCATTATTTTCGTTGCTGCATATTTTCACTGCCCGTGGGGAGCTGCTTGGCCGATTGATTTTTTTTCGTGCGTTCTTCGATTTCTTGTTTTTCTTAGGAGTAATGGGAATGCGCTGTATTTTTTATTTTGTCTCTTCATTGGGGTTGTATGGTTCTCGTGTTTGCCATTCTTTTTAGGATCGGTCCGAGATCATGTGACTTGCACATTTTTCTATTTTCATATTTTATAAAGCTGTCCTCTTTCTTTCTTTATTCGTCAAACCACCCATCTAACTTTACTTTTCTGGTGTTCAATGATTTTTACTCAATGGAAATTCACTCCCGCAATGGGGGTCAACTGTTGACTCTCAATGGATTAGAAGATGACACCAGTTGGGGAATCAAGATTATCAGAGATAATACTACTGATTAGAGCCTTATAGGTCATATTTGTGTAAAGTAAAGATGGGATCATTGGAATCTCTAACATTTTGCTTGGAAGGATGTTTTGATTTTAACCATGATAATGTTTTGATTATGACATGTAACATGGTTAGTTTTTGAGGAAAGATGCAGGCAAAGATATGGAATGATGAATACGCTTGAAAATAGGCCCTTTATTTTCTTCTCACATGATACTTGAGCATGATCTCTGAATATGCTTAATGTGATGGGTATCAATTGCCTTAATGTCAATCTATCTATTTGGTTCTTTTAGTTTTATAAGGGTGCAAATAAATTATTTCCTTTGAAATTCTTCTATAATTTTGGTTTCATGGTTGAACTTCATAGAATATACCCTCTTATTATGATAAATATGCTGTACCACATTCCTTATTTCTGACAACTATATGCCTCAATTCTTTACCTGATTTGGTTTCCACCTTTTCTAATGTTCTATATATTTATTTTTTCAGTGAAAGGGACCTTCATATGGCTCCTACAAGGAAACCTAGGATAATAAGTCCGCGTTTTAAACATGGCGAAGAGTCTCCTGATAAGGATGGATGCAATACAAATAAAAACAAGACAAAAGTAAGCGTTTTCCTTCTATTCCAATTTGCTATGATTTATTTATCTACGGTGTCAAATATCGTGAATTATCTACATCACGTATTAATGTAGCGTTAATATGTACTTATTTATGGTAGGTAACATAGTTACATTCTTACTTTTTTCTTGTTTATTTAAGAGGAAAAGTAACTTTCCATTTTAAACGTTACTTGAAAGTTTAATAAAGTGAACCTGGTGCAAACTATAGGAGCTACATGGCTTGTTTAAAGGTTTGACCGAGCTCACAGTGGTTAACTTTTTTCCCTAGTTAAAGTAACATTTATAATTTGATTCCTTGTGAGGTCAGTTTTTCGTGAGTTCAAGTTGCAATGATTAAAATAGGTGAATGCTATTCTGCAGGTATTTTAGGATTTTCTTTTTGGGAATAGTTGGGAGTAGTTTCTAACTGTAAAACATCTATTGAGCTGAGTTAAACTAGGCGTACTCTGATTTAGTTGTGTTGCTTATGTGGTAAATGTTGGTGCATTGAGGTTTCTACTTTTTCGTTTTGTTGTACAATTCACCATTTTTTCATTGGACGTATCAGTTAAGTGATTTGCTTTGCCATTTTCTATTTTTAATTTTGACAATTTTGGTAAGTAATAAATTATTCAGACAAGTGCGAGGATGGAAATTTGGAGACTTGCTTACTTAATGAGAGGTTAATACATCTTTATTCTTGATATGTTTTGGTGGAAACCAGAATTCTTTTATGCTAGTTTTCTATTGTAAGCTGTTTTTATCGAAGCAGAGTGAATTCTATTCTCCTGTTGTTTTTCTTTTGCTTTTTAAGCAAATACCCAATCCAATAATCTAAAATAAGTGTAATTTCCAATTCTCACTGCAAGAATTAGAGGTTCTTGTTAAATCCTTATTGGTGAGTAATGCATCATTGGGATCTAACCTTCTCTTTGTTTACTTAGCCTTGCTTTCTATCATTTCTGTCACTAAATAATATACATGCAAACATGAAGATAAGGGATGCAATAACAATTTTTTTAATGCCTGTGTATTGTTACCTAACTATTTCTTAATTCTGGGCATCTTGAGTGTGATAATTACCATATGCTACGACCATGTACCTCTTTTTTTATGAAGCTGGTATGCATGTTCCAACTGGGCCCGGTTGTGAAGTTTCTTCTTAAGTTTGGTATAGAACCATTATGAAAGTTACTTGTGTGACACTTCTGGTCTCGATTGTTTGTCTTGCAAAAAAGTTCATTAAAAATTTCGTAGCAGCTACATATCTACCATTTATTGCGACTGTATTTCATAACCTATTTCTCAATAAATTCTACGAAACATTCTTATTATGCCTTCATAGTAACGAAAATCATTTGTGCTTGGTGCCATATCCTTATAAACATTGTATTTTTGTCGACACCAATGAAGTATTAAAGTGTAGGCAGTATAAGAATTTGTTAAACTATCATTTGTCAAAAAAAGTCGATGGAGTATTCTCCTGTTATGTTAGGAATTTAAAGTTCACTTGTGACTTTTTTGGAAAAAAATGAATGACAGTATTATTTCCTTTTTTTTGGAGAAAGCTATGTCTAAAAGTTATATATATTGTTTTATTGTGACTATGTGATGGGAATCATATTATGATGCAGAAAAGGAAGCTTTCTGACATGCTTGGCTCCCAATGGAGCAAGGAAGAACTTGAGCGCTTTTATGTGGCTTATCGGAAACATGGAAAAGATTGGAAGAAGGTTTGAATTCTTAATTTTCTGGCTCATGAAAGCGTACTTGTGCATTTAACACGATTACTGTGTACTTTATGGTAATTATTTGTTCCAATTATCTTATACTGCTCTGTATTGCACTGCAAGTAAGACACTAGAGCGTTGTCTGAGATCTGCGATTGTTGCATGTGTATCTGGACATAAAACTTCGGGAAAACCTCTGATGATATGATTGGATAGTTTTGTTTCTAAGATTATCTTAATTTGTTTCTGTTGTGTGATCTAATTATCAGGTGGCAGGTGTGATACGAAACAGAACTGTTGATATGGTGGAGGCGCTCTACAACATGAATAGGGTAAGTTTTTTTATCTCAGATTAGCTTTAGCTTAGTTGGAATTGTTACTTGTTCTTCTCTCTCTCTTATCTCTTGAACTGCTCATGTTGCTTTAGAATATCCTTATTACTATTTTCTCATTTTGAACGTTGCATTTAGTGTTTGTATCTAACCTCATTTTTTCACGTCAGTGTAACTAACCAACTTCTGGTGAGATTTACGTTGTCACTGGTATCTTTGATTTTATGATTATCAAATTTGCTTGTTTAATTCCAAGTAGGCCATTTTTAAAATCTTCTTTCATTTTCATTGTTAATCTTATCATGACGCATTCCTACAATGTACTTCAATGGTATGTGAGGAAAAAAACCAAATACTTCTCCTTTTGAGAAAATTATTGATATCTTTGCCGGAATTCCTGCTCACATATCGGGTGGCATCTTCTACTTATGTGTCAGGCTTGATCCACATCAACAGTCGTTTATTATAAAGTAATCGTTTCCTTATTTATCATCTACCGACATATGGTTATTTTCATCTGACCTAAGACAATTCGGAGTATAGCTATTTTCATCAACAGTCTTTCCTTTTTTTCATTACTGGGTAGAGGACAGATGCTAATTTCTTGGTGCATCCTTCACCTGATAAATTTCTTGTCAACAAAGATTATCCAGGCTTAAGGCTGTTCTTATCAAAAAAAATTCCAAGAATGTAAGATGGGATGTACAACCAATTATATGTTATAAAGAGATTTCGTTGGAAGATCTTTCAACATTACCCTTGATGGTAAATGTGTCAGTTTTATCAGCCATGAAGCTGGGACTTAGCCTTTCTTCGGGCCTTGTTCATTCATGTTCTGACTGTTATTTTATTGTCATGACCTGTTGTTCATTTTATTCATTCGGTTCTTGAGCACCAATTTGTGTTTCTTCATCACCATCCCAAACTTTTCGGTTTTGTTGGGATGACAAAATAGTATTTTCCAAATTCAATATATGGATTCATTCTTGATTTGATTTGAACCATTGTTTTACCTTTTATTCAATATATCTTCTTATTTTCAATAGATTTTACGTTTACTCATGTTTGATAGCTATGGGTTTTATGTATTCATCTCCGTCGTATCCCTGTTAATGGAATTTCAGGCGTACTTATCTCTACCAGAAGGAACGGCTACTGTAGCAGGATTAATTGCTATGATGACTGATCATTACAATATCCTGGTAAGCCAATAGTTTGGACTATCCTATTGCTGTTTTTGTGGTGGATTCGTTTCGTGTTCTCCTAGATTTTTGTCCTTCTGTTTGTATGTATTATTTTGAAAACTATCTACTATAGTTTTCTGCTGACCTAGTGACACTGAATATGACTAGGTCTCTTGAAACACAGAGGATTTTTCTTTAGATTGTCTATTCCTTTGGGAAAGTCCACAGGGCAGGAATGAATCTTCCTACAGTCGTATATTGCTGTTGCTTCATAGATACAGTTTCTTCAGTAAATTGAGGTTCCATGGCCTTTTGCTATGAACCCTCTAAAATGACGTAGAGTGCTGTAGTAGATTCTTGAGAGTGTGTAGTAATATAGTCCATTCGGTGGACTTAATCACATAACTGCAACATTGAGAATGACATAATGCAATAACAGAGCATTACCGGTTTTGGTTCTAGTTCCTTTTGATGGTGGCACTGGCTAGTTCTACGTGTGTGCTGCTGGTTCTGGTCATTTTCTGATCAAAGGTTTTCTTAAAAAGAAGGCATGAAGCAGAGGAAGAAGACACAAGAAGATATAGGGGAAGAATAAACTCAACTTGTACTTGGGGTTGTTTTTACTGGAACAACATTTTTTATGCTGTCTGACATTTTGGGGGCCTTTTTCTTGTTGAAGTTACATTATGATGGAAGGACAGAAGAGTGGAGGGGCAGCTAGAAATGTAATGTGAGGAGGAAGAAAATGAAGAACAAATGAAGTGGAACTTGCATTTTCCCCTATTTCTTTCTATCTTTTTAGGACCATGTCTTCCCTACTTCTTGATGTGCTTTTTGCCTCTATTTCCTGCTATAGTCATACCCTGTGTTATTGCTATGGATGCCATGTGTACCATCTATTGCAGATGCCCTATGCCATCCACCAAAATTCTCCATAGCTGCCTGTCTCATTCTTTCTTGGTTTGTAATTCACAGAGTGGTAGTCGTTGTTGAAGCTTCTCCTTTCAGAATTTTTTTTGCTTTTCTGTTCCATAGCTTAGGCGACTGTTGTAGAACTGTTGTTTTTGGTTGAAATCTGTTGACTGGTTTGCAGATAAATTTGCTGTAAAATGTACTTGACTGCCATATTTTTCAGGGATAAAGTGTGGTGGTTTGCCATGTAACTCATAGCATCTGTCTCTAGTGTGACGTAGTTTTCTGCAGTATGTACACCATAAATTGTCTCTAGAGTCAGTTTTCTGATTCCTTCTTTGACCCTGTTGAGATGGTTTAGGCGGATCAGCAGTCTTCTTCATATTGTCGCCTTGTTTAATCATAAATACATAATTATCTATTTTTGGACCTGACATCATCAATTTCCTGCGACTTTCCTCATTTAAAATGATCGAAATAGCTTCATCTAACTCAACTTTCTTCTCACATCTCAATATCTGTTGCCTGACCTGATCAAACATAGGATTTAGACCAGCCAAAAATTTAAACACTCTCCTTCTGTCTATGAAATTTCGTAATGCAGTAATTTCAGCAGATTTTTCGGTGTCAAGACTAAGATAATAGTCAAGTTCCACCCATAGATTCTTTAATTATCCTGCATATTCCATCACTGGTTTACTCCCTTACATCATTGACATTGACTTTGTCTCAAGTTCATATACGTGAGCTTGATTATTTTTCTGTGAGAATTTGGTGTGAACCATCTCCCACAAGTCCTTGACAGTGGCTAAGAAGAACAAATCATGTGATTTGGGGAATCATGGTTCCCCACAGCCAAGTTTTAATCAGGGCATCCTCTTCTCTCCATCTCCGAAATTCTCGTGACATTGGGTCTGGTTTCCCCTCTATCAAGTGGTGTACCATGCCTCTTCCAGTTAATACTTTACATATATATTCTGACCATTGTATCAGATTATATCCTGTCAGTTTAGACTCTAGAGGCATTGTAGGGAGTTCTATCAATAATCTTGCGCCTCTAGGAACAAGATTAACCTCCCTTGTGGAGATTGAATCACCCCCATAACATGAAGCAACATCATCTGTAGCTTTCATTTCAAGAAATAGAAGTCTACTTCACGAAGAAACTGATTTCGTGACCAAATCTTGAACAGAAATATTCAAAGAACGGTACAAAGACTGTAATAGCAGAATCACTAAGTGTGGAAGCGAATTAGAGCGATTGCACCTGTATTCACTCTGTGAAGTGGCCGTAGAGACAGTGTGTCCCTCGCCAGATGTGGTACCAACAACAGTGGTACCAACAACAGTGGTACCTCCCTCACAACTAACCACAGATCGTCAAGAGAGAGGAATTCGATACCATGTAGAATGGTAGTCTTCAATTTGGTGTGCTGGAGATCCCGCAACACCTTTGGAGAGGAAGAAAAACCTTTATTGAATGAAAACAAGAAAACTGTTTTACAAGACAGACGGGGTCCAGTATTTATACTAGACTCTTGACAGTACATGATTACCAGTATTCAGGGCATATCTGCCAATATGAAACTACAGGGTTTATTTATAAAATCCTCACGACAACAAGAACAATGGCTGGTTTCCCTTTCAAAACTTTGTAAAACAGGTGAAAAAAAACCAAACAAGGCAACTTATGGAACAAACTGGTTTGGCTTGGTTTTGAATTATTTTCGATCACTTTTTCCTTATCTGGTTTTACATAGTGTGGCATGAATTGGTTGGTTTTTTGGTTTTCTGTTTTCTAGACTGTTATAGGTGATAATACATTAAAAATCTAGTGGGCTTTCCTGTTTGATTAGATATGCCATTTAATCTTCTGATAATTAATGCTCTATTTAATTTACGTATATAAACCTTTATTAGTATTTTTTGTTTTAATAGATGGCTTACTGATCCGTAGGTGAAATTCAGGTGAAACATTATCCTTCTAGCTTATAAATTCGTTAGTATGGCAGATTATTACCGCAGTTTTGGTGTTAACCATTTGATGACATGCAATCATTTCACTGCGAAACGATGGCCAAAATTTTGTATATTTGCCAACGGAAACTGGTAACATGATTGCTCTGAATTTAAGCCTATATATGCTTTTCCCTTGTGAGAAAGCACCTGACCTTTGATTCCTGTATTATTCTAAAACCTGATTATGTTCGGCTGGTCAGTGTGTCCAACTGCTGTTTTAGTTTTCTATAGAAATAGACATTATCTTTTTCTCTCTTTGCTTCTGTTATCATTTCTTTATATTTTGCCTTTGTACTTGAACAGTCTAGTATTTGTTGTATTTGTATCTTTCAATGGTTGAACGGTCTAGCATTTGTACATGAACTTGGGATGTCATTGTGTTTCTATTATTGTATATTTGAAACTTTTTGTGACACAGTTGTAGAGATCCACTTTCATTGTCATCTAGTGTTATATAACTGATAAATTTTGTTTGGTCAGTCTTTTCTGACTATGAACTCTGTGTTATATGGTAGAATTCTAAATTATTTTATTCGTTTGAATCTTTTGTGCTGTGTCTGGCAGGAGGGTAGTGATAGTGATGATGAGAGCAATGATGAACTACAAACATCAAACAAGCCTCCAAAACGTGCTCGGGGAAAATTGCATCCTAATGCATGTAAAGGATCAACAACTTCTTATCCTGATTTGTTGCAATATCAATCGACAACAACAAATTATGGATGTCTATCTCTACTAAAGAAAAAGCGGTCTGGAGGTATCTTTCAATGGATTAAGCTTACTTATCATCTTCTGCCAATTCTCTTGATACGTACATTTGTAGTTTTATGTTGATAAAATTTACAGACTACAAAAAAACTGTTTTTTTCTGGCAACACATTTCCAAAGAGCCTGCATCCTCGCTTATTGAGTTTAGGAAGCTGATTATTGATTTCGTTTAAGGATGAAATAATGGGCTCATTATTGACCTTTAGGAAGGTAATTATTCACACCAAGCATTTTCTCGGTTAGATGATTTAGAAAACGCAACTAATAATGTTTAATTATGATCGAAGTACGTTACCTTTTCATCCATTCTAATCTAGAATTCTTGAAGCGTTTGGTCGTTATAATTTTGAGATATTTATCTTTACGTGGGTGAGGGTTATCATTATGGGAGTCTTTATTGTGCAAGCTTTATTTTGGATTTCAAAAATTCACTAAGATGATAAAGAAGCATTCTATCTCACAAGGCAGCATGATGCATGTTATCACTGAATTTAGTGAAAAATGTGTGGCATCAATATAGTTACAAATTTAAAGGAGAGTTAGGGGTTTCAGGTATGATCTTCCTTGTATTTGCTTTCTTCCGGTGTGGTATTTGTTCACACCGTGGCTGTTGTGTTTGTAGATGCTCGATTTAAGATGGAAACAAAGTTGTGTGTTTTAGTAAATACGGTCTTGCCTTGGGCCATACTCTGTCATCGGTTATTTTCTTTTCGGCCTTGGTGTCATGCGAAATGTTTCCAATGATTGCTTCCACTGATAGGGAGAATGGGATGTTTACTGCTCTGTTTTTGTTCAAAGGTCGTGGTTTTGATTACTCTTAAGAAAAGGGAATTAAAATGGTGTTAGAATTGAATAGGTGGCATGATATGATTGATAACGTTGTAATTTGATTCGTAAATATCAAGAAATGTGAGTATGATGACAGAATCTTTCTCTGTGCTACTTTTCTTATGGATAATTTTTGCAGTGACCATAGGCCATACAACTCTGTCAGATCCTAATATTTCATTTTTTTCTTTTAATTTTTTACTATCAATGTTATCTTCAGATAAAAAACACGGCATCTGTAGTAGGAATTAACGTTCCTTTAGGAATGTTGGACAGCATTTAACCATCTCCACAGCATTCTCAATGAACATTAGGGAAAAATCATTATGCAGTACTGACGCTTGTTATGGTATCATAAAATAATAAGAGATCGGGACATCTTGCAGTGTTGAAGAGAGGATAGTGTATATCAGGAACAAAGTGATCAATGAGAACAAACTAGTCTATTTGAGTTTGATCAATATTGTTTTGTCTTTAGGTCAGCTTTTCTGCATCAGTGATATATGGTAAAATATGCATATGTTTAATTTCTATATTTTTGTGTAATTGCATCTGCTTTCTATTATGTCTTGGTTTGTCGCATCTCCTTTTCTGGCCCATTTTTCCACATTTGTCCAGTATTAATTAAAAAGTATATCCTATCCTAATTTTTTCCGAGGGTAGATATTTTGGTCAAAACCCGATCCGATTCATCACTTCCTGCATAAAAGTTTGTCGCTATAATAAATTCATCAAAGCCTCTCGGACTCCTTTTTGAAGTGATTAATTAGTTTGTGTCCATTCAGGTAGTCGACCTCGTGCTGTCGGGAAAAGGACACCACGTTTCCCTGTTTCATATACATATGACAGAGAAGCCATGAATATGCTTTCTCCTTCCAAACTTGTCAAATCAGAGAGGGATGCTGATGAGGATGGTGTCCACGTAGCTGCATTAGCCTTAGCAGAAGCTTCTCAAAGAGCCGGCTCACCACAGGTTTCGCGGACCCCACTCAGAACTGAGCACAGTAAATCCTCTCCGGTGCAGAGCGGTGAAAGAAAGGTAAAAATGAACGTCACTTCGTTGTCTCTTCTATTCCCTAATGGATTAATTTAAAGTACTGTTATCTTTTTTGACTGTAGCATGTAGAATTGGAGGCATCCAATTCTAGGTTCAACGCACTTTGGAAGGATAGTTATGGTTCAGAAGGCAGTCTAGGAAGTGTTGAAGCTGAAACTGGTGACTTTGCTCTAGAAACTGGCTATCATCATGATTCAGAAAATGGCCACACTTTAGAAACTAAGAGAAAAGTTAGAAAATCAAAAGGAAAGAATCCAAAAACTAATGGAATTGAAAGTAATATGCTTGATGATGATGTAAGAGAGGCATGTAGTGGTACTGAGGAAGGACCCAGCAATCGAGGCTCAAAGGCTGAAATTGATTCAGAGGTGTCTGATCGGAAAATAGCTCAATCTTTTCAAGGTCCAAGAAAGAGAAATAGACAACTCTTCTCTGGAGGTACGCTGCTACCCATCTTGATTTGCTACAGTTTGAATGCTCCAGTAGTGATAGGCATTCACTTAGGTGGTTGAATTCTTTTTGCCTTTCTTCTGTTGGTAATTTAGCATGATTAAGTTTAACAAGAATCGACTAGGCATTTTCAAACTTAGTATTGCTTTCAATTGTCCATCATTATTAAGCTACTCATTATAAGTGAGAAAATACAACTATGCGAATAAATTTTTCCTTTCAAATGATGAAGGCGTAAGCAGAGGATGAACTACATAAGGTAGATCTTAGTTAGATAAATCTTATAATGAAGTAGATCATTACTTTGTTTTGAATCATTGTTTTCTACCATATTTAAGTGGCAGACATTTTCATGCTTGTTTGAAGGTATTACATTTTATATCCAACTTATATGCACTTTTATGTCTCGGGCTTGGGAGTCTTTTTTCTACTTTTTGACATGGTTTATGTATTTGTTCCAATTCCACCTAGTTGAATGACCTGAGAGCGGCCGTAAAATCTTATTCAATAGATTGTGATAATATGCCCAGAAGTTATATGGATACGTTATAAATAGTTTGAGTAGTGAAGGGATAAATATGCACAATTTTAAATACAAGAAGTCTTTTTTCTTTCTTCATCCTTGATTCCATTCACAGAAGGTGAAGTGAAGTACAGTGGAGGTTGTGAGAGGTGTGACTATCAGAGGGAAAATTAATGGATACATTGGCGTGTGATGAAAGCTGTGGAGTTATACTAAAAATAGGAACATATGAAAAGAGAAGGCTAAGTTGAAGTGGGCAGTGGATGAAATGTCTACGGCATGTTCTCTTCCTCTTTTTAATCTTTTTCTCCACTTTTTCATCTTCGGACTGTATGTAGCTGGCTTCTTTAGGCTTAGGAAGAATTGACCTGTAGATGTTTCTCATGTAATGGTTCATATGTCTCAGTGAGCAATTGTAATCCTGAGATGGTCTAAGTTCTTTCAATGTTGAACTAACTTTATGTACCCCATTTTCTGTTGGCTGAAATATATACAACCCCAATAGAAATGAAATTATTTTTAAATATTTTCATGCACATAGTTTTATCTTTGTAGACATTATGATTAGAGGAAGGAAAAACACGTAGAAAGAGTAGGTGTAGAAACGGTGGAGAATAACTTTCTCATACCTTCTACAATCCCTGAGGCTAATAATAGATCTTATTCCAACAGAGTATGTGCCAAATGATCCCACAAACGTCCAATAGCAAGCAGGCACAACAACAAAATAGTTATTCCTCAACAATCATCCTCAAGCATAAATGTCATGCATGCTTAGCTTGCTTCATGTAGAGTTTAATTAATCTCTGCTTGATAAAATATCAGCCTATCTCAATGTCTTTGTTTCTATCGTCCTGGATAGGGTTGTTACAAATAGTGGAAGCTAGATCAATTCTATTATACAATGTGCCATGGTTTTACTCTCCACTTGAACAGTAATGTTAACGCGAGCTCTTTCCATTTCGAAAATAAAACGTTTCTGCTTAATTTCTGCTTGTGCTGGAAGGAAAAATGGCACTCAATCATTACTGGGTGAATCTTATTATTTAACTTTTTCACCCTTTTATCACTTTTGAGACATAATTGATCCATTCTCAATAGAAAATGGTACATCTTATTCATTCGACAAAATTCGTAACCATGTATTGAAGAAGTTTGCTAGAATGTTTCTGTTCAAATACATTGATTTGATATTTTTTTGATACTGCAGATGAAAGTACTGCATTGGACGCTCTACAGACTCTGGCAGATTTATCATTTAATATTTTGCTACCAGGCTCTGCCGTTGAATCTGGTATGTCCTCCTACAGAAGCAAAATGCATTCATGTAATTTCAATTTAAAATAAAAAGATGGTTATTGAGATCCACATTGAGGGTAATTTCCTATGGTGTTCATTTCTTTACCTTGTCAGTATTTTATTTATGTTTTACCTTTTCTTTTCGAGCTTTTCAATTGTTGACGTCTTGTTGACATGATTAAACATCATTTCAACAGAAACAGACCTCCACTATTCTATGAATGACGTTTCGTTTTTATTTATTTCCTGGGTTTTCCGCGTTTACCTGGGATTTAGTTTTTACTTTCTGTTCTACTATTTGTTCAAGTGATGCTGATTTTATTTTTTTCCTGGATTCTCCACGTTGACCTGGGATTTAGTTTTTACTTTCTGTTCTACCATTTGTTCATTAGATGCTTACTGGTGAATGGAACAATCTAAATTTAATAATCATAGCTTTTTCTTCTTTCCATGTAATAAGCATTTGCCCCTAGAATTGATATTATCCAACCTCTTATATTTTCAAACGTGTATCAGAGTCATCTGTCCAGCCCAAAGAGGATAAGAAAAGTGTTGATGTCGTTGAAAAGTTTGCTCTGCCCGAGGTGACTACGAAAGGCAGGAAAGATAAAACCAAAGTCTCAAACAAGAAGGTTGGTCCTTTATTTAGTACACGAAAAACCTCCAAACAAAGGGAATTATCTCCAGATGCAAAAATTTCTTCAGAAGCAAAGAATACAAATCATCAGCCTGTTCGCAGAATTCGGAAGAAACCACTAAAGCCTGGGCTTGCCAAAGTAAGGGAAACGTAGCTAATAATTTGTCCGAAAGTTTTTTATCGTACAATAGCAGCGCCTAAAATGTCACATTTTGATCATGGCTAACTTATTTATTTCGCGGCAGAATCCAAAAGATGAAGAAAATGAAGATACTTGTCCAACTGAATCTCCAGTACAAGAGGTACCTTGATGTTTTTTCATTTGCTTTCTTTCTTGGATTTCTTTTAGTAAATTGTCTTTTCTATGTAAATTTATAGGGGGCTCTATAAGGATTTTTTATTTAATGAAATTTGTGCACAACGTTGTTTCTGCTTGTTATATGCCTTATATGCTTTGTAATCAGGACGTAATTTAATTGAATGTGTTCTCAACGCATACTGTGTCTGAACCGTTGATGTGTAAAATTCTGATTATTGATATTGTAAACGTTTATCACTATCGTGGTTCAATCCAATTTCTTTCTGGTTCATAAACTCCAGATCTGCATTCATCTGTAATGTGTAATGGGAATTATTTTCCTAAGATAAATGCCTGTACGCATCAAATTGATTGATTTTGATGCACGTGAATGTTTAATAGTCCTTTTAGGTGAAAGTTTCTCTGCCTGTCCAATACATACACACATTCAATCGAAAAACATATTTCTCTTGTGTGTTAGTATTCTGCTCTTGGTGTCCGGATATAGGAACGCTATTCGCCATAGTTTTACTATGCACTTTTTTATTTGACCCTGACAAAGTTTGTTGTAATATTATTACCATTATCGTGAGGTGAAACCATTAAATTTCCCTTAGCTGATACCAAACTGATAACAAATCACTTTCTGCTGCCTATGGTAGTTTTAGTCATTCCTTTCTCTTTGTGTATTAACCATGGTAACATTATTGCTTATTCGATCTTTACATTCATATCAATGCCTTGATTTACTTCCAGGTCCTATCTGTTTGTCTGAACTTTATTTTTTGTCCTGTAATCAGAAACCTTACCTACCACTTAGAAGCAAAAAATCCGCTTGAACAGGTCTAGCCATCGAAAGCAGTATGTTTTGATTGTGAATACATGACGTCACATATCTGTGTGCTAAAATATCCATTCCCATTCCCAAAGATCAATGCTTTATGCTACTTGCTATCCCATTTCTATGTTAAGCATTCTCTTGGGACTCTAAATCATTTGAAACTTATTTCAGGTATAAACGGAATCTGAAAAATTAATTTCTAAAAGTTTATGTGATTGATTCAGAACTTAAATATCTGTCGCATGTACATCCGCTGCTGATGCTGGAATGCATGTTTATCCTACTATTGCAGTTTTATTGGGTACTTCTCATGGATCCTTCGGCCAAATTAACATTGCCCAGTTTTTGTCTTACTAAAGGAAAAAGAAATGTTCCTTTCACAGCTTTAATGCCAATACTGTGGTCTGGGTCATTTAATGCCTATCATCGTCTTACCAGACCGGAGTCTTCTCTTTTCATGTTGCCTTTGTACAAAGTATTCTACTAAACATGAATAAAAAATTGTGATTTTTTTTTATATTGAGAAATTATCCATTTTAATTCTCACCGCTAAATCTGAGTTATTCTGGATGAGCTTATGTGTGGTATGACATCTTCATGAAACGCGGTTTTGCCTTGGTAACTTTTGTGGCTCATTTCTGCGGTCCTGATATCCTTTTCTTTTGTCATGATTTATTGGTTGCTAGCTCTGTAGTTTCCATTATTTATTCTTAGCTGGACTCATTTTTACTTCCAGGTGATAGTTGAAGAATCAAAGAAGTCCAGTGGTAAAGTGAAAGGTGGCCCTCATGTTCCAAGTCAGAAATTGACAAAAATGGTTAAAAGTCTGGAGCCAGCTTCCTCAGGCTCTGAAATATCACGGAAACTGACGGATGAGCACGAATCTATCAGCCAAATTCCCGAAGAAAGCAAGGTTATCTTGATCAGTAAACGGAGAAATCGGCGTAAAATGACTTTGCAGAGAGCATTAGTGCAGGAGTTGAAGCCTTCTGCACTTGTTCAAGAGGACCATTCTGACATATATGTTCATGCAGCCAGTGACAAAGCTATTGATGTCAAGGCGAGATATTTTTCATTTTCTGTTTGCATAATCCAACAATTTTGTGAGTTTACTAATGCTAAGTTTATGGTGGTGCAGGCAAAGCTTTCACACTGCCTGTCGTCTCCTTTGTTGCGTAGATGGTGTATGTTTGAATGGTTTTACAGTGCTATTGATTACCCTTGGTTTGCTAAAAGTGAATTTGTTGAGTACTTGGATCATGTTGGATTGGGCCATGTGCCTAGGTTAACTCGGGTGGAATGGGGTGTCATACGAAGGTAATTTTACCTTATGAGCTAGAACTTTTGATTACTTTTGTCGTAACAATTTTTTTTTCTCACGTTCCATTTTCTTGATATTTCTGTATGAACAGTTCTCTTGGGAAACCTAGAAGGTTGTCAGGGCAATTTCTTAACGAAGAAAGGGACAAACTGGAGCAGTACCGTGAGTCAGTGAGAATACATTATACTGAGCTACGAGGTGGTATTAGGGAAGGGCTTCCTACAGATTTAGCTCGGCCGTTGTCTGTTGGGCAGCGTGTAATTGCATGCCATCCAAAGACAAGAGAGATTCATGATGGAAGTATTTTGACTGTTGATCGGAGCAGGTGTAGGGTTCAGTTTGATCGCCCTGAGCTAGGTGTCGAATTCGTGATGGTAAGAGATCTACTTGCATTTGTCTCCTAGAGCTTTTTTTTACTGATGGGTTATTAAAGTACATATCAGATGATTTTCTTATGAATTTGGTCATTTTATCTTGGATGGCTATGTTCAAGATATTTTGCCTGATCTGTGTCTGAATCATGCTATATGGATTGATCAGAGTTGGCTCATGGTAGTCTGTACTCAATAAATATATCAAATAGATGGTGGTAAAGCCGTACATAATATCTTTTGTGGATCATTATTTTTGCCTATTTTGCTTTTATACTCAATTTCATTAGTATTAGTTTCGTCTGTTTGTTCTATATACACATACTTAGATTATAGTAAATCTGCTCAACACTTGATTGAAATTGAAAGAATTGAAAGAAAGGAAAATTGAATTTTAATGTTTATATGGTTGGCTTTAGCTTGTGGATCTTTTTTTTCTGATAGGGAATTTGGTCCAACTTGTGCGCTGTGCTTTTATGATTGGATTGATACCCTCAAAGTTTTCTTCTGAAACAAAACTGAAGATATTTCAAAAGTTGCAGGGATACTCGCATTTTTTTTTAATTGAAAGAAATGATAGGAAGATAAGAGGATTTGAAAATAACTTTAGCACCCCATTCCCATTTTCCTCACTTTTCTGTTAAAGCGTCATGGCCTCAAGTGACAGATAAGAGGAAGTTGACGAGATAGAAAGAATATGAACAGTCCGTGTAAAGGTTTACTTGATGTTGATGTGTTCTGGTCATCTGAACTGTGCGCCATTGGACAAAAATCTTGAGATATAAGCAGGAAGGAGTAAATGATGTGCAAGGAAAGATGTTACCAACAAAGTAGGTGAAATGCCCAGATGTTTCCTGATGATGTTACTTAACTGGACTCGAAATGACAGTTTTCCAGGGTTCATTTTTAGTAATATCCCATTTTTATTTAGGAATAATTAGTATCGTGGAGAATTATTTAGTAATATCCCATTTTTATTTAGGAATAATTAGTATCGTGGAGAATTATAGATTGACACTTCTATCAAATAGAAAACAGATTCCATGTATTCACAAGTTTTATTGCCTTCGCTTTGGTTATTTTGACTATTGTAGCTAGACTGATCTCCTGAAGCATGGTTTCAACTTGGGTTTGACATGTCTTTCCATTTGGGTTTCAGGGTAATATTTTCAATTCTCTTTTGTCGTTTCAAAGAGTGAATTGCGGAATGGCTGGTCGTAATTTATTTCGTTTTATTTTTGTATGTATCTATTTTCTGCTTTTCTTATATTCCATTTTAGTTTGTATTGATCACACTTTTTTTCAGGATATTGATTGCATGCCATTAAATCCATCAGAAAATATGCCAGATGCTCTTAGAAGGAAGAATCTTGTGGTGGACAAAATCTCTGAAGCTTTTTATGAGACAAAACAATTCTCTCAACCACAGGACCGGAGATTTGGAGAGTCTTTGAGACTTCTTTCTGGTGAAAATGTGGAAAATGCAGAAGGGATCTGCAATGTTTCTTCATCCAATTATCCAATGAGTACCTTGATGAAGCAGGCAAATGTTAGATAAATTTTTTATTTAGTTTATTTGTCAGAAACATTTAGGAATACTGCTCGTTAACCTTCCCTTACACTAAAATACTTGCTCGCAGGGAGACACTATTGATGCTATTGCCGTAGCTAAAGCTGCTGCAAATGAAGTTGTTGTTGCCGCACAACAAGCAATGTACGCACAGCCGTGTACATTAGCGCAGATCCAAGCAAGGGAGGCCGATATAAGAGCTCTTGCTGAATTGACGCGTGCTCTTGATAAGAAAGTACGTGCTGGATGCTTTTATGTTGATGTAAAAAATGGATTCAAGACTATTGATACCTGCGACACATCCTAATTGTTGCTGACGACAATAACATTTCGCGCCATATTTTCTAGTTTTCTATTTTATAGCTGTTAACACTATCGGGCTGTCTAACTCTAGCAATTGAGTAGGAGTGGAGTAGCCCTGTCATTAGAATCACAGTTTTACTCATCATTGTTTTTAAACACTAGTATGAATCTTTTAAACCTTGTCTCATTTTTCGGTATCGGTTCTTCGCTGATGTTTTTATTTAAGTTGTTATGTTTCATTCGCAACATCAGCTGTCATATGTTAACCTTCTACTTGATGCATTAGTAAGCAAGATGAATGAATCATTGCAGGAAGCATTATTGATAGAACTCAGGAACATGAATGAGGAAGTATCGGCAAAACAGAGGGGAGGAGAATCCATCAAAGAGTTCGAGCATTTCAGGAAGCAATATGCCATGGTTCTCTTACAACTTAGAGACGCCAATGACCAGGAAAGTTGCATCCATGGGGACGAAAGTTTGGTTTGGTCTTAGACCAACAGTATTTTACTTTCTAGCTCCTACATGGTAATTCCCGATCATAAATAAGGCTGCATTTTCTTAATTTCAGGTTGCCGCCGCTCTAGTTTTCCTAAGGCAGCGGAACACCTACCAAGGAAATGCAGCACCTTCATGGCCGAAGCCCTCGGAGAACTCAGTGGGGCCCACAGGAAACCAAGGCTCCCTCGGTCATTCATCATTTCCATGTCAGGACCCTGGAACTCATGTGCTGGACATCATTGAAGGCTCTAGACGAAAAGCAAAGGCGATGGTTGATATTGCCATGACGGTAATACTCATTCTTCATAATTGGTACTACTCTCATAAATCATGCTTAGAAGGAGAAAACAGATAATCTATTCAAATTTAGTCCCATTGATTAGGGCTGCCCAACCCCCAATGCCTCTACTGGTGGGGTCAATGATATGCTATGGGGACACGTGTCGCATAAAATCGGTTCTGTTGTCTAGTTGACGAACTTTCTTCCCTGAAATATTTTACGTCTTGAAGGAAATTCTCCCTTTGCTATCTCGTGGTTCTCTGGAGCTTTCATGTCATCTCATATAGCCTTCAAAGACTCGTGCTCGGATCATATCCCACCAGTTTCGATCAGACATTTCTCGTGTTGTCCTCTCAAGATCGGTTTCCACCTCGACATCTGTCGTGGGCAGTTTCCACTTAAGTTCCATTCTTCTTTTAAAATTCCACTGTCTCTCTTTGCGCATTTCATCCTGTCTTGACGTGCATTTCAGGCAATGTCCTCGATCAAAGAGGGCGAAGATGCCTTCGCCCGAATAGGAGAAGCCCTGGATTCTGCAAAGGTGTGGCAATCTGGTGCTGATCCCAGCGTCTTCTCGGCAAAATCTGTGCCGCTTCTCGAGTCAGCCGGGCGTGGCGGCTCTGCATTCCAGGATCAAGCCGTCAAACTGGAGCCCTCAGCCTTGCAGGCTTCCAGTCCGAAGCCAAATTCGTCCTCCAATGGTGCCGAGAGCTGGGTCCCCAATGAACTGATATCATCATGTGTCGCCACTCTGCTTATGATCCAGGTAAAGTGAACACTTTTCAGTACAGCATCATTTTGAATGATTCCGGGAACCCGTTTGAGACCATGAATCTTGTTGTTTACTACCATCATCTTTGTGCTTTTCCTCCATCCGTGCTATATCTGAAAACAGCATATATATATATATATATATATATATTCAGATGTAGCCTTTGAAATGTTCCATTCAAGGTAAGTTCTCTCTCTCTGGACAGTGAATCTGTTCTAGAACCAGTCATCCCATAAATAAATGGAGAGCTTACCAGATGGGGAAAGTCCGAGCATTCGTGTTGAGCTGTTAGCCTCACTGAAAACATACACTGGTTTCTAGGAGGCTTCAAGATCCATGTTGAATCCCACGGGGAGAGAAGATCGAAAACCCAATGAATCAAACGGAATGGAACGCCCTGAGAAACATTCACTTAGTTCCCTGGTCTTACTGAGATTTTCTTCTTTCTTACCTTTTCTACTCCTTCCGACGATGATTTTTCTTCTTCTTCTTCTTTCTTTCTTTTGATTCTGAGTCTGATTCTGATTCTTTTCATCTGTAGACATGCACCGAAAGACAGGATCCCCCAGCCGAGGTGGCCCAGATCCTGGACTCTGCAGTCACGACACTGGAGCCTTGCTGCCCACAGAACCTCCCAATCTACAGGGAGATCGAGGTGTTCATGGGCATTGTGAAGAACCAGATGCTGGCCAAAGTCCCCACTCTCACCAGCTCCCTTCCCCCTTCCTCGGAGCTCCCCATCCTATAACGTCTCACCTGGTAGATCCCTCTATCTCTCTCTCTCTCTCTCTCTCTCTCTCTCATATCTTTGCTTATCTTCTAGAGGGAGGGGGTTCAAAATATTCATATCCAATAAAAGCTGGGGAGCTCCCTGGTGCAACCCCCCCCCCTCTCTCTCTGTCTCTCTCTCCCCTCGGCGTCTATTCCATGCGACCCCGCCCTTACAAGTGGTCGACAGTGATAATGATGATGCTGATGTTGAGAAATGTGTGTATAAAATGATGGCTTCTAGGGTAATCATGCACAGGGTTTTCCTCAGAGCCGAGTTTTGATCTGCCAGAAGATGTCCGTTGTGAAGGGGAGAACAGGACTGAGCCCTCATTGCAGGCCGATCCTTCAGGCAGGAGAGTCCCTTTAAAGACCTCGGCATCTTGCCGATGGTCTCATCTCTGGGTCTGTTCAAGCTCTCTCTCTCTCTCTCTCTCTTTCTCTCTCTCTCTCTCTTTCTCTCTCTCTCTCGCTCTATTATATATATAGTGTAAGCATTGAAGAGCTGGGTATTGTTCATAGCCTCTCATCTTTCATTTTCTGTATAATGGGCCTATGCGGCTGTTTAGGCTTTGGCCCGAGTCTAGTAGAGCCCTATAGCTTCGAGAGCTTGGTGTTGCAGACGGCCTCTCCTCTGTGTCCCCTTTCTCTCTATCTCTCTCTAGCTAGCTCTACTTATATGCATCCTACATAAATATGCATGTATATACAATGAGTCCATTAGACGGAGTCTACTTCTTAGGGCTTTCTCTCCAAAGTTCTGAGTCCGTAAAGCCCAGTGGCTCTTTGCTCTCGGCCACCCCGTTGACCTAAAGAAAACAGCACCAAACTGGTAAAGAAATGGAAGCCTAAAATGATCCGGATTGCAGTCGCAGGGAGTTTACTTCTGCGCTGTTCTTCCCCCGCCGTATTATGAGATAATCTTCGATTAGGGTATTTATTTTCCTACTAAAATTCATGGGTGGCAAAGGGTAATACTGTTCGGTCCTAGTTCTTGAGAGGGAGAGAGAGAGAGAGAGAGAGAGAGGTAGAGAGATCCAGGAAATACTAAAGGTTGGTACAATCAAAGAAGAATCTGGGGATTCAGCCCTGGGGAAGCTCGCTCATCGTAGTCAATAAAAAGCCATGCAAGCTCTCATTTGGTCGACTGCAAGACGATGCTCGCACTTAAATTATTTAGTGAGGAGATTTAAAGAAGGGATTAAAATTTTTATTGAACGAATGTGCTGCACAATAGAACCCATCAGAATAAAATCAAGATCAAATACAAAATGGGAATTTTGTCGTTTGTTCTGAGTGTTCATTAAGATCTCAGAATCATCCAAGGCGTCTTTTTTAATTTAAGGTTATGTTTTTATGCATCAGAACTACGAAGAAAGCACGAAATATTTATCGCGAAAAAAATCGTCCATGTAAAATGAAGATGCGCAGGAGCCGACTATGTTGCGCAGTTTATTTTCTGTGTGATATTATTTGTATGCCTTCAAAATTTGCTAATCTATGCTCCTATAAATTCGTTTAAGTGAATCATCCACACGCCTTCTCTCTCTCTTCCCCTCCCTACAGTCTCCCCTGTGTATATATAAACGTATACTCTCTCTCTCCCTCTAGCTTCTTTCTAGTGTAGATATGCGTGCCCACATCTCTCTCTCTTCTTCTTCTTCGCCCTCTCTACCGTCTTTCTAGTGCAGATAGGCGTACCCACATCTCTTTCTCTCTCTCTCTCACACACACACACACTCTCTCTTCTTCTCCCTCTATACAGTCTTTCCAGAGTGTAGATATGCGTACCCATAAATATCTCTTTCTCTCTACTCGTCGTGAGCCACGCGTTTGTAGTTTCTTACGCCTCTACCGATCGACGCGTCCCTCTGCGGCGCACTCGATCCTTCTCCATCTGATTCCCACTCCACATTCGTTTCTACCAGAGGGAGGGAGGGGAGTGGGGAAGGAGAGAAGGGGATCTCTTGCACCAAGAGCCGCGCAGCGCGAGGCCATCATAACCAGCGCATCGGAGTGCAGGCTATCTGCTGCCTTGGTTGAATCCTCTTTCTTGCCTCGGGCTGCTGTCTCCTTCGTAGATACGCCTGCACCCCGTTGCGGTGTCATATGAGTTCGCTGCGCGGTCTTGAGCAAGGTTTCCCCTCCCTTTCGTATCCACAAAGAGAGAGAGAGGGGGGAGTGTGTGTGTGTGTGAGAGAGAGAGAGAGAGAGAGAGATGAGTACATGGGGTAGGTAGATGGATAGCTATATCGAGTGATGGAGAGGATAGAGAAATGAGGTCAGTTCTTCCCTCGCAAAAGGCCCTTCTAGGACCAGAGGCAAAGGAGGTAGCGAGCGAGAGAGAGAGAGAGAGAGAGAGAGAGGGTAATGGAGATGGAGAGAGAGGGGGAGAGAAGTAAGAGATTGAAGACCGGCGAAGATGTTAAGGAGCCAAATGAAACCAGAAAACAAACAAGATTAGAACAACCAAGAAGAAGAGGGCGATTATGAATGGTCTTAAAGAAGGCTGTAGACGAGACCAAACGAAGAAGGAGAAAGCCTGAAGCATACCTCAGCTAAGAGAGCAACCACAGGAGTGGGTGCCGGATAGCCTCCCCGTGGCCATAGGAAGAACGAAGGAGACAGGCCCCTAGTGTTTTAGTTATAGAACCAGATATCGACGGGGATGAAGAGGACGAAGAAGATACTCCCCCACATCCTCCGAAGATTACAGAAGCTCGCCATTCTGTTTCCTTTTTCTCTCCACCTTCCACCATGTGTGCGACCATAACTCTCCCTCTCTCTCTCTCTCTCTCTCTACTCTCTGATCTGCCTGAGTGCAGTGAAAAGTAAAGGCTTCAAAAAAGGTGAAGAGAGGGGTGGGTGTATCGGCCAGAATTGAGAGGGGCGCTCGCCGCCAAGCCGAGACCGCAATAGACGTACCCTCCCCCTGCTCCTGGTCAACGACGAGAAAACGTCTCAGTGGTCGCTGTCGGCGCCCCCCGACTCAAGCGGCGGAGCCCGGCTCCTTCACGGCATCCTCCCCTCTCTCCTTCATCAGCCACCTCTTCTTCTCCTTCCTCCGGCCGACCGCCGAACCCCTTTCCCATGCGCCACCGGACTCTGAGTTGTTCTGGGGTCTCGAGAAAGGCAGGAGAGCCTCAAGTGAGCAGACAAGAGTCCCATTTAGTCAACGCTAGAAAGTACATGAGGCCAGCAGACCATGAGGGTCATGGACGGAGAAACAACGGGTGGAGAACACCCGGCATGACCCAATAAGACCTCACGATGTTTTAGCACAAATGAATTTCATGGCCATATGACGTAAGATAAACTTTAGATTTTCCCTTACAATTTCCTAATTAAGTATTCTAGCAATGTCCACTACCCACATTCCCCAACTCTTCAAAGTGCACTATATTCTCTCACCACAAGTTGGTCTGCTCAACACAAGATGATGGGTCACCACAACAAAGAGGGATTTTTATTATTTTGATCGTGGTTGGAAAAAATGCTGTTTATTTCTCAAGCTCAATAAAAATGCTCTAAAGTTATTGTGAGATATGTTGAGTTTAGAAGTCTAAACTTTTTTGATGATTATCTATGGAAGGGTAATTTAATACTTCCACAATACTAAAATTATATGTTTATCTATGGACAAAAGAGATCAATCAAGTTAAAATGAAAGTATAAGGCTAAGTAGTTATAACTAAAATTGATCAATTTCCTCAACGGCAAGGTGGTTGAAGATTTAATCTCGAATCTTTATGAATTAAATTTTATATTGAAAATGTTATTACATATGGGAATGCAGCTAAACAATTGGAAGAAAATGACAAGAGAAAATATGAAACAAATCAAGAATTAATATTTAAATATTCTTATTTTTTATTATTTAAATAATCAATGAGTTAATAAGTTCATTTAAGGGAAAAATGGTCTATATTACTAACTTAGATCACTAAAATAATATTTACATGTAAGATGAAGATGCAAGAAAAATATAGGTGTATGAACTCCACTTGACTTATGAGAACCAACCAATAGAAAACTAGATGAAGTTGCATTAAGTGAACTTGTTTATCACATGATGGAGCCACCATCTTCTATTTGATCTACCTTCTTAGCAAAAGTAGGTGAGGGGAGATCCATTGAGAGAGGGAAGACACATGATAAAAATAAGACTACTATTGGGTATGATTCAAAAAATACCTAACTTGAGAGATAAGATCAACTAGTTTTTATGCCCTCTTGCCTTATGAAAGATTACAAGTATACCTTGTAACACACAATAAAAGAGAATAAGTTTTAACTTCTACTGCTCTAATTGTTGGGCTAGTGTGCAGCCCCATAGGTCTGTTGCTAGTTTGCCTCAATAAATCTTAGAAGAAATATGAGTCATATATCAATAATCTCCACCTTGGCAAATATTTCATCCATCTTGAAGGTTACACCTTAGTGCTCAATAAAATACCTTTTTAAGAAAAAAATTCACCTTCTCAACAAGATGAAGCTTGCAACTAGTCTGGTCAACATAATTATATTATTCTTTGTAGTCTGAATTTTTTCTATGGAAATATTTATTAAATTAACCAACTCCCATATTTAATCAAATCATACATTAGTATGTTTTGTTCTTACATGATACACTTGATTCCTTATTAAATAAATGATTATTTGACTGTCCTAATGTGAAGCAAATATACTTTGATTAATATTGAGTTCCTTCAATAATCTTCTTATCCACAAAGCTTACTTATCAACATCATCTACTATCATACACTCTATTTTGAATTTTGCTTCTAATTGAAAGTTTACTTTGAATTTGAGTACTTATCAACTTTTTACAATATAGACTCTATGAGCCTATATCACCTTGCTAGAAATCAAGGCTTTAGTAACCTTACTCACACATCATAAATGCATCATAGATATTGTATTGCAACAAGTTAAATGATAAGAAAGTATTTACTCAAGTTGAACCAAATACGTCACCTT